ATCCATACCATATGACTTGCATAATGCTGAAGAGGTAACTAATTCGGACTTTGAACTCAAAATTTTGAGAACTGACACTTTTCTCTTGATGAGGTTTCATACTAGATAGCAGTTACTTTGCTTCTACCTTAGTTCTCACTAAGACCCTGCCTCAATTTTAACTGAAATTAAAGATGAATATTTAATCTACCTTGGCCACCAAGTTTGCTGTTTTCATGGAACAACATCTTAACATTACTACTTCTAAGTGTGCTTCATTACATACCATATGTTCACAAATACCATGGCACCACCAAATAAGATGCGCACCTAATAAAGAAAAAAATGTCAACAAATATGCTGCGCATATTTTCATCAAGCCCACTAATTAACAGAAAAAATCTTTTTTTCTGAATTATGAGCATAAAGAAATATACTGATCGACGGTTACCAGGAAAAAAATCCGAGCTACCACCAGCAGCTTTTGCAGCTCCTACCTAAGTATGTAGCAACACATGCCCAGAACATTTTAATGGGAAAGAATAAATCCGTTAGCAGAATTTAATTCTATGGCTGAAAGAAAAAAAACTGCTAATCTAAGTATGTTATATAAAATTTTACTTGTTAAACAATAGCTTCAATCGGTAACAATCAGTGCACTAAATATGGATTTAAAAGTCCCGAGTGACCCTTTAAAATCTACCGGTAATCTAACAAAGGCAGATAAAGCTGCCAATGTTATAACTAAGAAGCCAAGTTTGGCAAAAACCATTCAGAGAATAACAGTTTGATTTAAAGTACCAATATATCCTCTACAAATCCCTGGCCAGGGTTTATTATTTGAGAGGATACAGCAGCATCACATAATGTTATATTTTCTGGAGATACCATAGCTTCAAAAAGAAATAATTTATGCCAACCAACGTGTATTTACCTGGTCTACATTGCTTTGTTTCTCGTAAGGCACACACCTCGATTTTTCAGAGTAAAATTATCAAAAAAAAAACCTGCACGTCATGAATATACGGTACATATTTGGAGACACGGTAATTCACAGGAGTTACATGCTTTGGCATATAACATCATTTGTAATCCTCCCCCATCCATTAGCTTAATCTTGTCATGATATAATCAGCAACAGACTAAAACAGAAATCCAGTTAAGTTCATTCACTCACATAGTTAAATCTTCTAATTCCTTTCCTGTCTTTAACACAGAGTCAAATGAAACATCTAAATTCACAGTACAGTTGGAAAAAATTAGAAGCACCAAATTCTTAATAATATTTCAATCAATCAAAGAAGTAAAATACTGCTAACACCTCACCAAATGCTATAAGTAGCATTTAACACAAAAGACAGTTTTCACTATACATGCAAGAATTAAAAATTTAAGGATTATAAACCAGCAACATTAAATTTTTTGGTTGTTATTTATATTAATTTCAAAGTTTCACATACCAAACATTATACTAAAGTATAGTAAAATTTAAAGAACTCCAAATAAAAATATGGCTCAAATGAAGGGGGACACTGTACAGTAATAGTCTATACAAAGTTAGCAAATTAAACTTCCGCATTTTCTTAACAGCCAGCAGTTACAAAAATAAAATTGCATGTCCGCATAAATATTAATATCTGAGAAAATGAAATAATTTTTGTTCATCAATGAATATTATTATAACTTAAATAAACATTAGTTTTATGCATAACATTGTAGCGGAAGAAATTTTATAAACATAACCTTTTTCTGCATGCAAATACGTAGCATGTTTTTTAAGGGCGGGCTGTTTTGTTGTATACATTAATACGTGTCACGCTGCTGGCAACAAGTGCTTGCATCGTGTCCCGGCATTCCTTGGAAACAACTATACTCAGTTGCAGCTGTGTAGGTAAATTATACGGTCTGTTCTGTGTCCTTAAATTGATCAAGATTATCGAATCACCTGCCCCGTGCGAGGTACGGTCAATGATACATATTTTGTCGGCAAGAAACTTGTTTACTGCAGACATTCACTGGTAGATTTGTGAAGTTTACAAAGCTACTGGCATGAGTGAAGGCAAAGTGCGTAAGTGGGTCGGAGACTTAAAAAGTGTGTAAGCTGGCCACAACAAAGTCCATGATGAGTAGCCGCTCTGGTCGCCCATCTGTGATCACAGACGATATGGTGGCTTCAGATGAAGTGAAAATTCTTGAGAACAGATTCTTCACCATAAGCACTCTTTCAAACAAATTTCCTAAAGTATCTTGACTAGGATGTGAAAACGACTGTGACCTCTTGGTTATCGGAGCAAGCAGCAAGTTTCTAAGAAGAGGGTATTCAAAATCTTGTTCTAAGGTATGATAAGTGTTTAAACAAACTTGGCAACTATGTTAAAAAATAGAGAAACATATGCAGAATCTGAAAACAAATTTGGTTTCTGAAAATTTTCTTTCATTTGGTTTTTATTTTCAAACAGCCCTTACTTAAAAAACATCCCTCGTAGTTAAAAAATTGAAATTCCAATTCTGAAGTAAAATCATGCTTGATTAAGAATATTTTAGAAAGTTATAACAAACACTAGAATTTGTCAATATCTACAACAGAGAGGAATATGCATGATTTTCTATTTTCTCCCTTTCAGATTTATCCTACAAAAGGAATTGTGCCATTATTTGACGTGAATTCATTTTTAATTCAGGGTAAGTGTGCGAGACTTTTCTAGGCCTTGGGTGAAGGGAATAACAAACTTTATATTTTTCCATAGAACACTTATAATACACTATAAATTTAAAGAGGGATGACCAAAATTTTTGAAAGGCAGAACGAAAGGACACTGCTCACAAAAATAGCTCCATTATTGAAGGGGGGATAATGAATCCTGTCACGGATACGCTATAGATGCGGGACTGACCCCGCCAAGTTCAAAGTGCTATTTATGCATTAAAGTATAAAAATACAATTCATTAAATAAAAAAATTTAGTATACCAATTCCCTAATAGGTGGTGCTATAACACAAATGGTATTTTGCACATATTGAAAATGTGAAACATCATTTGCATTACAGTGCATGCCTATTAGCATTATTCTTTAGATAAAAAGCAGGCGGATTCTGCATGAGCATTAGTTAACTTATTTGTTTAAAATCACTAAACATAAACCTATTAAATCACTTAAGATAATAATACTTTAAAAAAGTTCTTTAATTTATTACAATAATCTTAGCAGATTTCAGCAATATTACAACAAATAAATGATAAAGCCAATTAGCCAAGTTTAGTGTTTTTTTCCTAGAATCAGGCTATCCAAAAAGTCTTTAGTGCCAAATATAAATTACAGAGTAATTCTCGGAATTTCGTTTCCACAATAAACTTTTAACATTTTCAGTGTAGACCACTTTTTAGCTTTTTTTTTATATTCTGACATATATATGTAAGAAAAACAAAGAATATGTAAAAGATTAAATTAGCAGCGTAACTTAACTTCCCTTCTCTACTCTAAAAAGAGCAGTATCTATTTGCACTGCGTTATTTCGAGAAAAATCTATGTCATATGACTCTTACATAATTCTGGTGATGTAAATTGAACTAAAACTCAAGCATCCAATAATAATTTTACAAAAATATTAACTAACCAATCAAAATGCTACGAGAACCAAAACTAACTCAGTTTGACTTAAGATTTCATCCTGAACATTACACACTTCTTTCTACTCTTTGCCTTGGCCGGACTGCTGCTTTCTTGCTACAAAGTTATCAAAAATGTAAGCCTTTTGGAACAGTCACATTCAATGTTCCAACTCGTGTGTAGTCGCAACATGTTGCTAAAAATAAAACTGAAAATTTAATCTGCCTCCGCCTCAAATTTTCTAGTCATTATGGATCAACACTTCTATGTCATCAAAATTCCTGCTCCTGAATTTATTACATATATATTGAATAACTTAAGGTTCTTCAGTATCCGAAAACATTCGGGTTAATGTCCCTTTAGACTAAAAATATTTTAAAATAGCTCATCTTTAGAATTTCCAATAAATAGTCTCCCACACTGAAGCAATAAATGTTCCACCCCCCATACAGTGTTTCCATTGCTCACTTTGAAATCATTGAATTTGTTAATAAAAAATCCGTTAAAGTTTTACAAAATATCAAAATATGAAACAGACAATAAAACAAATTCCAAACTCCAAATTCGGACTTCCAAATGCTCATATTCGAGTGGAGGACTACATTATTCAGAATGTGATGGCTCTAGGTATCGTTGTTTTTTAACAATGCAAGAAACATACATACATTCATGCAGATTCTTCATTTTTTAATTTCTTTAAATATAATACAGGGGGATAATATTTGCTGGTAACAATCTGAAAAGTGATACAACACTTTTAGTGATTCATATCAAAATGTTATTTCGAGAGTAATAGTTCTTCTGGGTTAACACACCTTTGGGCTAAAAAAAAAAAATATATATATATATATATATACACTTTGTTGATCAGCTTAGACACATACCTCCAGGTGTTATTTCCTAGAAGATAGAAAATGATGATTTTGTGGAAGACATTTTATAGCTAACTGGCTCATGTTTACATAAGATACGAAGGAATAAAAAACAATAATATTTATAGTGTAAGTACTAGTCTGCCACTGGTAATCAAAATCAGGATATATAAAAACTATTGTTCTATAGCATTATGTATCCAGCTACTGGTAAGTACAAAAAAAAAAAAAAAAAAAAAAAAAAAAAAAAAGGAATTTTATTTCTACTTATAAAGAATTTTTCATCAGTGTTTTTGGTAACAGAGGATCGATCAATAATATTGCATGCTGGATGTAAAATGTTTACCACTTTACAGCTTTAATAAATAACTATATTTTGTGATGATTATACCATTTATTTGGAAGTGACATATTTTGAAAATGAAATAAATTGAAAAAACTCAAAGTCTAAACTTTTCAATGTTATATTAATGCCAAATAAAGCTCTAATTTTTTATTACGAATAGTTATACCTCAAGATACTATGCTGAATAAATTATACCTTAAATTGTTGATCTCTGTAAGAACCCTGTTCAGCACCTCTGGATCTGTAACTCATGTTTGTATTTCTTTGGAATTTTTATCACTCTGCTTACTGAAAATAACATAAAAAAATACATGAATGAAATAAATTCGAAGCTACAATGTCTTTAATTTTTTTACATAATATATACTTTTAATAGTCCTTCAACTTAAATAAAAAATAAATAAATAAATAAATAAAATAAAATAAATAAAAAAACTATGAACAAACTACATACATATTTATAAAACAATAAAATATTTATTAATCTTATGATTATGTTAGAAAACTAAATTTTAAAAAAAGTTTGCATAATTTCAACAAAATCACTAAATTCACATTAACCATATGAAATGCAACCTTCACAAAATACTGAAAACAATTCTCCTGTACCCTCCTTTATTTTAATAAAACGTAATGGAAACTTTCAAAATGGTAAAATACGTATAATGTACTAAATGCAGATTTTAGAAGTTTTACAAGATGGCACTTAACCCACCCAACCCTTCCACGAAGTCGCGACACACAAGAGCAGATAGGTATGGTCAGACTGGCAAGGCTGCCTTACATAGATGTAAATCAGCCTTGCCAGTCGATGCTTTATTTTTCTTCCTTTTTCCCCTTTCTAGTAATTTTGTTCTCCTGATGAGGAGGGACTTTTAGCTGCCCTCGAAATCGATTGAGTGTTTTAATATATGTACGCTAAATACAAGGTTGTTATTGTGATTTTGATTTACATAGATGTACCAGTAACTCAATGAAAGCTGACCACTACTTGTCAAGGTTCAAGGATGCTCTGATGGATAATGCACACTAATCACAAAGGTGTGCAACACCCATATAAAGATCAGTAAAGAAGAATGCAACCTGCAAGTTAATCCTTATTCATCAAGACATAAGGAGTGCCTGCAATATTATTATGCAGTTGAGTTTATAAAATAAAGAAATCAACTTTAATGCCAACTTGAACGGATATGCTCGAACCTTTTTTCAAGTTTTCCACTGCTCATCAAGGTATAAAGATAACTTTTATTGAAATTTAATTTACACCATGAATATGGGAACTTTCATCAAAAGACCAGGGTGCTCACGTAAAGACACATGTTTTTTGGAGACAGCACCTGTTGTCGAGGTGTTGGCAACTGTACGATGGTTTCTGCAAGAAACGCCCATAATAAAACACTGTAAATTACATAAAACAGAAATAAATTAACTAAATTAAAAACACAACAGATATCTATAATAACATTAATTTTGCCATATGTACAGCAATATGTTTTTTAACTTAAAAAATTAACATTGCAAAACAACTTGGCACTGCTTTGCTTCTGTTTTAACTTTACAAAAAACCAGAAAATTGCACAAATTAACTTCAGGGAATGTCCATTCCTACCCTCTCTGTAACTAGGTGAAATGCTATATTTAAAAAAAAAGAAAGCAAAAGAAACATTTCTTTTTTCATTAGCAGGCAAACTCTACAAAGGCGAAAACAAAACAAAGACGACTTATTACAAGAAAAACTGCAAACATGAAGTAATTAAGTAATAATTAAGTGTACTAATTAAGTAATGTGCAAATTTTAAATGCTATCAAAAGCTTACAAGGTGGTCACTTTTTTGAAAAGTACCTGTTTTATATTACATAATAAATTGGAACAAATGGCACCCTGTCTACAATTCTATCCATATCCATATACGTACAAGTACAGCCGATATTTTTGCGTGAAGCGAGATGTTTCCGGCTCATGTTAAGACCCAGTGGGCACATGACAATAGTGAAGTCTGGACAGTCAAGGGTGAGAGAAAAAAGGGGGTGATCATGCATCACAGGTCAAAACAAGGCGAAAAGCAAACAAGAGGAAAACGACGAAATGGAGCAGTGAGAAGGTGAAACTGGACTGCATGTTTGCGTTGTGCAAAAAGTAAAAAAGGATAAAACATGATATACTATTTTATCAAAAATGCATGCATGTATTTAAGTATGAAAGTCAAAATATCAGATAGTACAAATATAATAAACAGATAAATATAAATAAATATATACAAACCATACTAAATACAATACAGATAATATTATGATACTTTTCCGTTTTGCCAGTGCAGGCGATAAAGTTGCCAATGAATGTACAACTGACGCCAAACGGAATATCCTCACTGGCAACCTTTTACGCCTCATTTTCAAAACAAGTCGCAGCCATTTCTTATCAGATTGACTGTTTCTTTCAATACTGGCATACAATTATGTACAATTTTTATTAGATAGTTCAATTTTATGCCCTAAGGCCATCCGCAGTAATTAAGTCAATTATGATGTAATCACACCACTAACCCGAAGGCGAAAATATAGAAAAGGCAAAATCAAGGGTTAAATTCATCAATTCTAATGAGATTAACCTAGGAAAGTAGAGCACTGCAGTTTTACATAACTTCTGATTAAGCTATTTGTACGAATTGAAATAATTCTTGCATTTAAATTTGTATTCCAAATTAAGATTCAACTTGAAATTAATGTAGATAATTACTGAGAGAACTAAATTTTGGGAGCGCAGTTTACGTAAAATGCACTTGTGTTCACATGATATGAACCAGGAAATCAGGATGTTGAACCATGAAAGCATAGTAAATTCTTGAATTAATGTCTTTTTGCAAATTTACTGTCTTTATTTATTGGCTTTTTACAAAATTTTAAATGATACTAAAATGTTTATGCCTTCAAAATAAAAATTCTTAGAACTAACATTTGTTAATATTTTTTTTGTGTATGTTGTCGCCAATACAGTCTGCTTGGCGAGACTACGCCGACGAAACGGAAAATTACCTATTATACAAAATACAATAAAATGCAATAATAATTGAGTGCAAAAATTGCAATAGATAAAAGTACAAAATAAAATTAAGTATTCTAGAATTCTTTTTAGATGTTTTGCTAGTAAGAAATTGGGAGAAGGACAGGTTACATTTACAGAAGATTGACATTTTAATTACTATTGTATTAAAGCAATTATATTAAATCTCTATTACCTATTTCTAGCACATTAATTTAATTGTATGGGGAAAGTGCAGAATCATCCACTGCTGGCATGTTTTTAAGAATTGCAGAACTCGGTATCCATGTACACATCGACCTATTTTCACTGAAAAAAAACATCAGAGAATTGCACAAACTCAGCATTGTGCACACCCTTGACTTTGTCCATATACACATCGACGTATTTTCACTTAAAAAGTCAAAGGAAATTGACAAAAATCCAATTCGTCTCACTTGTAAAAAGCGGCAAATATAAGATGCCAAATAAGTGGGCCATTCCGCACTTTATCCAATTGTATTACAGCTATTAAGTTAGCGCTTTGTTCCAACTGTTGTAATACAGCACAGAAATTATATCGATACATCAGGTGATGCATAACAGTTTAAAATGATAGCATTCCTACAAAAAGAAAATTCCTGGACACAAAAACAACTCTTTTTAAATCTAATTATGAAAAATGTTACATGCATATGAAAATCATACATACTCAAACTTTTAATACTGAATTGAAATTGCTTTTTTTTTTTAAACGGTAATTCAAAAATACTAAAACAAAGAAATGAGACAATATACATTATTAGGAAATTGCTCATATGGATGAGTTTTGATGCAATAAAAGGTAGACTTCATGAAAAATACAGTCTTGTAAATATTAATATCAGGAACTTGGTAAACTACCGATAAAGGCTTTGAATATATTCAGAAAATCAGGTAACAGAAATATCTGACATATAGTTATTAAAAGCAGCTAGTTAATATTTCATTTAAATGCAAATAGATAAATTTAAGATTAAACACCTACATTTTTATTTCTAGAATTTAAAAGAGAACAGTCATTTCTATTCTCTTTTACACCACAAAGTTACATTAATAATAATGACAGAAAGAACAGAATGAAAGATGTGACTTCTATATAATACTGTATTTACTCAAAAATATGAGTGCCCTCATATTTTAAGATAAATTTTAAAATGTAGGCGAATATTTGATGAGAGCATGCTTTTGATTAGAATTCATTTGTTCCTCATCAGAACAAAGTCAAGTTACCTAATTCAATATATTTTACTATAGTTTAGAAGGAAAAATTTAATGACACATTAGTACATATTTATTTTCAGGCCTACTAGTATAGTGGATGCAGGCTTAAACAGACACTGCTGAATTAAAAGTGGATATTATAATGGTTACCTGATTTATACATATAGGTATGCGTGTTTTATTTAGTATTTAAACTATGCACTTATTCTATATAGTATGATAATTAAACTTCTTTTGCGATTTTGTGTGCTAAAATACTCGATTATAAGACCCTATCAGATTTTACATCGAAACTATAATGAAAAAATTGGGTCTTATACTCGAGTCAATACGATGTAATTGCTAACTTCAAATAATTGAGATACTGGAATCATAAAAGACAATCACAGTTTTTCTTAACACAGAATTAATTAAATTATTTCAAAACAAAATTAAATTTACCAATGGCAAGAGTTTTAGGAAAACGGCCAAGCGTAATTAAACGCAATATTTTCTTTCATAAACGGCATAACATGAAAACGAGACATTCGAGTTACCATTCAGCCTTGCTAAAATGTCAAATTTTTTTTTTCCAAAACTCTCACAGTAAACCAGATATTGAATGCATGAAAATTGGAATATCTTCGAATAATAAAAACCTTTTTGTACAATATTTTGTGCATGAGATCAAAATTTGAGGATAATTTTTGCAAATTTGTAATTGTCGTTTAACAAGAAGGACGACCTAATGCATGCAAAATATAAACACTTCAACTTTCAATCAAATTTACACTCCAATCAGCATCAACGTGGATGTTGGGGGAGTCTGCGATCACCGAGGCAAGCGGTAGCACGATCGCTGCGCTCCGTAAAAAGTGAAAATATTTCCTTTCCTCTTGGTGATTATCAATTAAATTTCTTTGAAAAATGTTTTTTTCCCCTACAACACCTATATCATTCCAATGAATTTCGGCTCCGATTTTGACGAGAATAAAACAGCGGACAATGTAAGGATATACTCCAATAGCCCTGGAATTTTAAGATAAGTACTTTCTTTTCATCTAAACTAAATCAAATTTCTTTAAATAAGTGCATTTAAATCAATAAATCTTAATTTTTCATCAGTTTAAAGCATTAAAAAATACTTAAAATTGCCATTGCTTGTGGCTTCCTTTGTGTATCAACTCCAAACAGACGCCAGCGTTATCAGTTCACGTGTGTCAACACTTACAAAACCCTTAAGGAATCTCGAGAGAGGGATAATTTGGGCATCGCGCTATTTCCCTCTCGGATCTTCTGGATTCTCATTTCTTTCTAGATCGCTTGAATATAGTTTCGCCTTTAAAAAATATTATACCTCACCGACTTTTTCTCATACTGTTCTTTGCTATCTGTTAAACGTCCATATGTAAGGGATGGTTTATTCTTCACCGCCTTAAATGAATTCTTAGAATTATGAGCTTATATAAATAACAGTGTGCCTCATTGTGTTATACTAACATTATTTAACTAGTAATAAATTATGATAGTAAAATAATTAATCTTGTAATAAATTATGAGAGTTAAGTTAATAAATACTTTGTTTAATTTGTGTTTTTAATACATATACTCTGTAATTTACACACACACACACATATATATATATATACATTTTTCTTTTGTGTGTGTGTGCGATTTGTGGTCGGTTGTATTGTATATATTGGTATCCATGGTTCTATGTAGTTTGTTTGCTGCTGTTTATTGAAAAATGTATGAAAATGTTGAGTACGAAAATAGCATAAGTTACTTTACTTAAATTAATATACACTGTTGTTTGATGTTATGGGTCTTTTGCTGTTGTGTCTGAGGATGCAAGCATACATATTACTTTGTATTCCATCCTAAATACCTTGATACGAGGCATTTTAAAACTATCACTTTTTTTTCCCAGAATCACATCTTTTCAGCATTACCAAACGCACTCACTACACACACACACGCACACCTATGAGACACTATTTATTGTAAATGAAGACAGTTTCTTCTCCTTTTAACTACACTCATGGACACAATCGTATTTTAGGATATTTCCTACTTCTTTTCCTTTTCATTCTAGAGGCCTTTTTTTTTTTTTTTTTTCCTCTATTATTTTTGGGCCATTTATTTTAAATTTTATTTTGTCCCATCTTTTCTTCCTGGCCTTTTGAACTCGTACAAGATGTACGAAGTTCCTTTTTACTCTCCTCAAATGCGAAATTGCCCCTCTTTCTATATACCTTTCCTTCGCACCTATGCTTGATTTTTCGCCCATCGGTGCAGAAAGACTTAGCGGGTGCAAAACAAGACATCTGTCTACTTTGTCTGTCTGTCTGTCTGTCAACGTGGATGCCGGTGTGTTCTTGCACTGTTTAACATTTGAAGTTGTTTTGGTAATTTAATAATAAAATTTTAAAAAATGTCGGGACGTCAAGGTATGCTATGATACAAACTTATATCCATTTTAAATTTATTTGAAACTTATTGTGATTGCATACTACTTTCCGAAGAAGTTGTTAATATTTTAACCTATTTTTAGTGAAGGATTAAAAGCTATAAGAATTGATTTTTGGAGAAGAATCCGCGTTATATTAGTAAATTTTGCAAGACTAGTTCTACAAAATTTACTGTTACTATATTACTATTACTACTATCAGCGTTATAGTAGTAAATTTACTACTATAACGCTGATTCTTGTTGTTTGACTATAGTCTATTATTTGTGTTTCATCACAACAAGTGTGCATTTTACTATACTTGATTAAAGTTGGTACTTATTTGAATAATTGTTATGAGTTATTTCGAAAATATTTTTACGCATGGATAAATGGTTGAACTTGAATAAAGATAGTGACATGAAACGTAATACTGCAAAGGTCTTCGAGCAGGATCCAGTAACCAGATTGTGGCATTTAACATGCAAAAGAGAAAATTTGTTAAGGCCTTGGCCAAAAAATAGCCAAGTGCCGGTTACGGAAAATTTGCCGTCTTTTTATTATTATTGAGGTACTGTTATTTGGGTCCTAAATGTGTAATATTAACTGAAAGTCTTAGTACCTTATTAGATTGCCAATTGAGTAATAGCCCTATCTTTTTAAATAAACCTTCTTATTTAAGCGTGAATTGAAGGAAGACACAACTTGTGCATAAATCAAAATTACACCATTTCCAAGTGTTAAAATAACATAAAGTTGGATTTACAATTTAAAAAAGGGATTGTAACCAGAGACTACACAAATTTGGCATAATTAAGCTGGGTCAAACTTTAATGGCACGATTTAACACTCATCCTACTGACCATGAAAGTTGGTAGAAATTGTGCCAATCATTACTGCAGAATTTTAAAGGAACTGATTCATCTTTATGTAATAAACAATTAATAATCAACCCACTTTCCTTTTTTGCACTGTGTGAAAATGTTTATTCCGATTTCTACCTTTTTTGTTAGGCACCTCCAATGAAGCTCTATTTAGAATGCTATGAGCACAAACTACCATTAAGTAACTGTTCTAATCTATTATCAGCCATATTCAATTTATTATATATCGATTAAATATGGAGGTTGAAAAATTTATTTATGGTTAGGAAATGGCTAATCCTGGAATATTAATTAGCAGAACTGGGTAATAGAAAATAAAACTGCAAGCGATGCTACCAAAAGCTCTACGTTTAAAACATTCAAAGCTCTTACTTTAAATACTGTTTAACGCCTTTTTATACTGGTGATGGCTAATGAAAAAGAGAGAAATAATAGTGCAAATCCAAATCATAAAAATTGAATAATAAAAATGGTAAACATATATTTACGGGGGGCCCTTGATGATTTTTGGCAGTACATGAATACTAAGTTTGTGCAGTTCTTTGACTTGTTATTTTGACTTCGAATTTTTGCAGCAAAAATTGCTGCTACATGAAGACAAAATAGCAAGTCGAAGACTTGCAGAAACTCGGTATCGATGTACACATTGACCTATTTTCACTTAAAAAAATCAGAGAATTGCACAAACTTGGCATTGTGCACTCCCTTGACTTTATCAGTGTATACATTGGCCTATTTTCACTTGAAAAAACATCATAGAATTGCGCACTCCCTTGACTTTGTTCATGTAAACATCAATCTATTTTCACTTAAAAAGTCAAAGGAGCACCCAGTTTTACAGTGGAGTCAAACAAAATATATATAATCTCAATAAACTACATTTAAAATCAAACAATGAAATAACATTAAAAAGGAAATTCATCTTAGCACTACACAAAGGAAATATCAACCTACCTTATTTAGAAATTTCCTTAACAGCATCCAAAAACTTCTTAAAATTATTTATCAAAGGGTACCTGACAGCAAACTTTTACCATGATATCAATTTGTCTCTTCAAGGAAAAATTACCAATGTATTTACTTTGAATGATAGAATTTGGAAAAATATCGTGTAAGACGATTCATTCAAAATGTTTTTGCCTATCAAAAGTTTCATAATTGAAGGAATTATTATAGATCTTGTAATATTTTGATTTTTTTTATCTCCAGCGCACGGAACTGTGTTTCGGAAATTCTAAAGATAGGCTCATTTAAAAATAATTTTGCAACATTGTTATTGAGCTGCAATTTATGGTTTAAGTGCGAAGAACATGATATTTAATAAATAAAGTAACACACAAAACATTAAAAAATATGCCCCTTTGGACGTAATTTTAAATCTGAAACTTTTCAGATTTTTTTTAACTTTTAATTTAATTTTTTTTTATGTCTTTATTTTATATGTACTGTATGTGGTCGTAAAAAAAAGTCTAAATGATAAAAAGGGGGTTATGAATAAAAAAAATTTGGTACTATTCGGTTTCGAGGGCCTTAAAAAATCGCAAACCATTGTTGATGCCAATGCTGCCAAAAATAATTGTGGCAAGAAAGGAAGTATAATAGTAAATAACTATCTAAGATTGATGTTTTAATTTAGATGAAAATTTAATTTCATATAATACTTTTTTATTATTATAATTTATATGAAAAAGGCTAAACATGACTGAATGGAAGCATAAGAGTAAATAACTATTTCAGATCATTATTATAATTTATATAAAAATTGCTAAATATAACTGAATGGATGCCTGCATCGCTGTTTCGCTACTGACTTATCACTAAAGCCTAATTTCATCTCGGTTAAAAATTATTTTGCGACATTGTTATTGAACTGAAATGCCTTTTCTTTGAAAATATTCTCGGTAAAGTGCAGAATCGCACACTTATTTGATTGCCGCTTTTTACAAGGGTAAAAACTATTGGATTTTTGTCAATTTTCTTTTAATTTTTAAGTGAAAATAGGTCAATAGATAAGATAATCAAGATAAAGTCAAGATCATAGATAAAGCCAAGGGTGTGCGCAGTTAGCCATTTTTGCGCAATTCTGGGATTTTTTTTTTTTTTAAGTGAAAGTAGGTTGATGTGTATATGGATACCGAGTATGTGCAATTCTTAAATAACGCGTCAAGCAGTGGGTGATTCTGCACTTTAGCCAAAAATCTATTGCCGACTTTTCGTCATGGGCAATTCCCAAATTGTTAAATCCATAGGATATCCAAAAAGGTTTTAAAAATTAAACTGGAACAGCTTGTGTATAGGACCCCATTGGCGATTTTTTGGCTTGGAGATCAGAAATGTCACCAAGCCATGGAAAAGCCGTTAAAATTGAAAACGCAAGTTAGAAAGCACGTTTTAACCAGAAAAAATTTTAGAATATACGTTTAAGCAGCAAATTTGAAGGTACATAAGTAGTAGTAGTAATATTGAAAATACAAGTTTAGCCTTGTAAAATCAGTTAAAATTGAAAATAGATGTTAGAATGCATATTTTAACAATGTGAAATTGAAAATAGCAGCTCAGAATGCACGTTTATATTAAAAATATGAAAATAGGAAGTTAAGAATGCATGTTTAAATTAAAAATATGAAAATAGGAGTTAAGAATGCATGTTTAAATTAAAAGTAAAGAGAAGTTTGAAAATACACAAGTACATGGAGGCATATTTTAAGCAGCAGTATTGAAAATGCAAGTTTTGAGTTGTAAAACTGAATTAACTGATTATGTCCATTGTTGTAAAACTGATTATGTCCATTACAATTTCTAGAAATTTTTGAATACATCAATATTTTGCTCCTTGCAAGTTTAGTGAAAATATAAAAAGCCAAATAAAATTTAAAATCTGTTTGCCGATTATGTGTTGGCAAGGAGCTTTTTACATGCCTCCATGTACTTTATATTGTGTTTGTATGCCACCCCGTTTCTGAATCAACAAAATGCAAACTATAATTTACTTTCAAATGCTCAAAACCCTCTCTACTTAAACAATCATAGCTTTTCCAACTACAGACAAAAGACGTTAATTCGGACACCCATAATCCAAAATGATCTATAATCCGGACCTCAAAGCTACAAACTTTCTGCGCATGCATCAGCATGTAAGACCTTTACGGCTGTGAATATATATGTCTGCGTTTGGGCGTTTGATGTATAACGGACGGTATAAGTTAAGCTAAAATTATCTAATTCAGTTAGTGTTGCAGATTGTGTTGTTCCTTAATCTTCGAATTGGATCCGGCTTATTATTTTTTGCAGACTGTTAGAGCAATTTTATAAAAGTAAGCGTGAACTTTCGATTATGTCAAATAGGAATTTCCGATATATATTTACTAATATGTAAAGGATCTACAAAGCGAAAGTATGTTTCGAAGTCCATTAAACAAAAAGTGGAATTGCTGCAAAAAATGGATAAAGGCATATCCTTCGTTTCACTAACTAATCTGTTTATCAATTTCACGCTGCTCTGCGGCGGAGGGGGTAGAACCGCCGCGGCGCGCAACGAATTGAAAGTTGATCTGTCAGCACTATCCTTATCTTCAGGGCAGATGTTTTTATTTTATTTGGCTTATAATTCCTTACTAAATGTAGTACTTCATCTCGATGTACTCCGTCTTTGATATGATTTAAATCAAATTCCTCCTCATTATAATTCGCTTCTGATAGTGAAGAAAGTGACACAGAGGTTATTGAAAACGAAAAAATTTCGATTGACAAATTAGTCGGTATTCTCGGCACAGCAATTAACGGGACTTGAACGGCGGAACTTTGTAATTGAACAAGAAATTATGTCTTTTTATAGAATTAAAGAGATTTAATAAAGTAAACAAATAAATATTAAGTTTTTTTTTTTTTTTTTTTTTTTTTAATTTTTTTTTTTATTTTGATACCCTTTAGATCATAATTGTTCTTTACTTCATAAATTACAGTTTCATATTTTTAATTTTAGAATTTCTGCATGCCATCTTACGAGATTTAAACTGATGACCTATAATCCGGAATCGCGCCATCTTACGAGATTTAAACTGATGACCTATAATCTGGAATCGCCGAAGTCCCGACGAGTCCGGATTAACGACTTTTGACTGTATCAGAATAAATTGTGGTCCCCAGCTTAATCCACTTCTTAATAATGCCCAATAATGTTCTCTCTTTCCTATCGTGGACAGCTACCAAAAATAGGTTGCCAGATTCTCTCTCAACTCCTCCAAAAACCCACTGCTCCTGAACTTCATGCCATCTATTGTATTTCGGTTTTCCAAATTTATTTTCATCTATTTCTACTATCTTGCCAATACCACCTATTTTTTCCAATGATAGTTCTATATAATCTAAAATAGTTTCGTTTATAAATTGCCTCCAGTCTGCTAATGTATTACAAGCCAAAAAGTACTCTTCTTGAATAGCTCCAGTTTTAGTCCGACTATTTCGTATGTTAAAAAATAATATTTCTCTCTAAGCATTTCCGTACTGTTAAGCAAAACCTATATTCTATCCATCCTCAACTTACTGTTTCAAAACCATGACCTATATCTAATTGACTTCTGAGATCCACATTCCTTCCCTGCCGTAACTTTGCTACACACCCACATAAACCATCTGACTTTAACTTTTTAGCTTTGAATTTCATTTCAGAATTACATTTCTCACATATAAATCCCTCCTTTATCAAGCCTGCTTCCTTTAAAAGTCTAAGAATAATTGCTGATTTTGACATAAATGCACAAGAAACAATCTATTGGCTACACCAGGCTTTCCTAAGGTCATCCTTCCATTTGAAAATTGAAATTTTAAATTCCCTGTTAATACTCCCTGAAACTCTCAACAATGCTTAACACAGATGGCTTCTTAATCTAAAAATATAAAGAAATTGGAATAAGAAAAAAAAATCAGTACAACCAGTTCACTCAGTCAGCTTCTCCTCCAGCGAAGAAAATGACACTTTCCAGTTTAAAACACGCGGGAATGAAACAGGGTTGCCGAAGTGGAGTATTCTAGAATTTACTGGGTTACCAGAAAAACAACCGTCCAAAAATTGCGCCAAGCCGAAAATCGCCAATGGGGTCCTATACTCAATCTGTACCATTAAACTAGTATTTCAATGGCGTCTTAAGAAATATAGAACTATATAAACTTACGCAATCTGAAATCGACTCGCACACTAGGTTTGGCGCGCTGTTAAATGGGCGCTTTTGCGCATACATTTTCGCTGCAATTTTTTTATGGCCGTCGAAACCGAATAGTACCAAAAATTTAAGATGAGCTGACCTGTTATAACCCAAAACATTGCATTTTTAGAATACTTATATAAAAAATATTGAATTCATTTTCGGAAATGTCAAAATCAGCTTTTATTTTTTATTTGTTTTTAAAATTTCTCATATTGTTTAATTAGTTTATATTATTGATAGCAGGATACTTAGTAATGAAATCTGCTAATCTTGTAATTGTTATTTTTTAAATATTATATAAATGCTGAATACCTTTGCACATACAGGGGGAATTTGAACAAGTGGTCATTACTTTAGGGTGTGAGAGAAGGCAGCTATACGAGCAATATTTGTCATAGAATGTATGGTCGTAATGCAAATGGCAAGCTGCTAGGTTTCATTGTAAACAGTAAAAAGGGTCGATCCTCAGACTCGGCAGCATTTGCTATTGTGTACTGCCAAGAGGGTGGCTGGTTATACAAATCACAAAATGGCTGATATGCACTTCATGTACAGTGTAGCAGACAGGAATGAGAGTGATGCACAGACCTGACCAGGACCTGTTTCAAATCGGACACACTCCAAATTGAAAAACATTCAAATGTTTGCTTTGGCAGGTGCGAAATTGAATCCTTCGCTGCAGCCAAGCAAGACATAAGATATGAAAGGAGCATCTTAGCATTGCACCTTTAAGAAGACATTCTGCGTAGGGGGAAAGATCAACCAGAATGTAGCATACGAGTTATTTTCTGTGCTGTAAACGTGTCCCAAATGACAGTTTCTGGTGTGCAATCATTAGGAAGAAATGCACCCTTATCATACACAGAAGAGACAAGCATTGTCACCAGCCATGTGTTTATTTCGCACGTTGGTATTTTATCAGAATGCAGAGCAGCTGGATTTCAGTGCACATGTTCTGTTTACGGATGAGTGCACTTTTACATGTGTGGGTGGTTTTAATACCGACAACTCGCACACATAAGCATCTCTGAACCCACATGCCAGACGTCCTCATTCGTTCCAACAGTGGTTCTCCAAAAATGTTTGGTGAGGGATCCTCCATGACCATTTGGTTTAAACTTATTTCCTGCCACATCGCCTAGCTGCTGAATCATATCACGCATTTCTACGAGAGGTGTTGCAGGAGCAGCTGCACCCTATTCCAACACCATGAGTTCAAGAATGTGGTTCCAGCATGTGATGGCGGGCCTGCACATTTTAGCTTAAATGTGCGGAACATTTTAGATGTTTAGTTGAACATTTTAGATTTTAGATATTCATTTTAGAAGTTCCCAGGGCGATGAATTGGTCAAGGTGGTCCCATAGCTTGCCACCAAGGTTACTGGATCTCTTGTGTTTGGAAATTTTCTTGTGGGGCCATATAAAAAGCCTGATACAGTCAAAAGTCGTTAATCCGTACTCGTCGGGACTTCGGCGATTCTGGATTATCAATTTTTCCAGATTATAGATCATCAGTTTAAATCTGGTAAGATGGCATGCAGAAATTATAAAATTAAAAATATGAAACTGTAATTTATGAAATAAAGAACAATTATGATCTAAAAAGTTATCAAAATTTACAAAAAAAAAAAAAAAAAAAAAGCTTAATATTTATTTGTTTACTTTATTAAACATTTCTTTCAATGTTAGTTGTTTAAGTTGCTTTGTTTTATGTGATAATACTATCTCTTTAATTCTATAAATAGACATAATTTCTCATTCAGTTACAAAGTTCCACTGTTCAAGTCCTATAATTGCTGTGTCGAGAATACCGACTAATTTGTCAATCGAAATTTTTTTGTTTTCAATAACCTCTGTGTCACTTTCTTCACTATCAGAAGCGAATTATAATGAGGAGGAATTTGATTTAAATCATATCAAAGACGGAGTACATCAAGATGAAGTACTACATTTAGTAAGGAATTATAAGCCAAATAAAATAAAAACATCTGCCCTGAAGATAAGGATAATGATGACAGATCAACTTCCAATTCATTGCATGCCGCCGCGCCCCCTTCATGAAATTAATAAACAGATTTTGGAACGGTTAGAGAAACAAAGGATATGCTTTTATCCATTTTTTGCAGCAATTCCACTTTTTGTTTAATGGACTTCGAAACATGCTTTCGCTTTGTAGATCCTTTACATATTAGTAAATATATATTGGAAATTCCTATTTGACATAATCGAAAGTTCAAGCTTACTTTTATAAAATTGCTCTAACAGTCTGCAAAAAATAATAAGCCGGATCCAATTCGAAAATTAAGGAACAATGCAATCTGCAACATTAACTGAATTAGATAATTTTAGCTTAGCTTATATCATCCGTTTTACATTAAACAGATGATATAATATGTTTTTTATACCATCCGTTTTACATTAAACGTGCATGTTTAAACGTATTATGCGCATGCGCAGCCATAAAGGTCTTACGTGCACGCGTAAACGTCTATGTGCATGCGTCAAAGCAACGCATGCGCAAAAAGTTCGTAGCTTTGAGGTCCGGATTATAGGTGCCGAATTAACGACTTTTGACTGTATACGAGTACCCTGTTGAAACGAATATGGATCTAGTTGCCAGGATCGCTCATGGTACCGGTGATATTTGGGAAATGCTGCAAATGTGCATCAATCCATATCCCACAGGTATGAAGCCTGCATTTCAAATGATGGAAGCAATTTCTGTGAGCATGTTCTGTTAAGAAAATGTTTTCTGAAGTATCTCCTTTCATTCTTGTGTTAATTGTGTAAATATGACAGTGGAAAACTACCCTTTAACTTCTTATCGCTTGCGTTCTGACCATACGCTTGCGTTCTGACTATGACGAATATTGCTCATAGAGCTGCCTTCTGTCACCCTTAAAATTTTGTCTACTTGTTCAGATTCACCCTCTATTTGCTTAAAAAATTAAATAATTTGACAAATAATTTTTCTTCTTCAAATTATAAAAAAAATTGTAAAAAATAAAAAAGCACTGAGTATTTTTAATCTGTTAATTATAAATTAAAGTTTTATTATTTTTCGTATAGTATTATGGCATGAGTAGGTGAATGAATTAAAGGCACACAGAGCTGATGATAGCTTGATAAAATTCATTTTACCAAAAGAAACACTTTACAGTTCTAGAACTTTCCATGAAAGTACTTGTACAGTTATTCTCAGTATCACAGAGCACAATCATTAGTTGCCCTTCAAACTATTAAGAACGTTAATCACAATGCAATGCAAAGCACATCTTTCTGAGAACTCTATCTGATGACTAACTTTGGTTACATTCTTTAAATGCAAGGAAGAAATTTTGTGAATGCATAATTATTCATATTATCATAATTCAGTACCGTTTCCTGAAAAATTGAAGTTACTGGCTACTTGCTGTCTTTTCCTTCAGTTCACTGATACAAGAATTAAATATATTCATAAGATGATAATCAGTTCAACTGAAAACATTTTATTACTATATGTGAAGATTTTTATTTACAATTGCATAATTTTGTTTTTTGCAAAAGAAATGTGGATATGAATAATCATACAAATGAAAAAAATTAGTAACATAAATAAATGAAAAAGTGAGTAGCAAAATAGAATTAATATTTACTTTTTTTTTTTTTTTTTTTTTTTTTCCAGGAGGGAAGAAAAAACCTTTAAAGGCACCTAAGAAAGAGAAAACAGAATTTGATGTATGACTGTGGTCCTTTATTTATTTATTTATTATTATTATTTTTTTAATTTTTATCCAAAGCAATGAAATTTTTACAAAATAAATAATGCATAAATTAGTAATTATTTCTTTTATATGCATTTGTTTTGATTATTTGAAATTCTCTTTTTGGCACTTAAAATCAAAATTCTGTTTTCAAGTAGTTACTTTATTTATTATTTATTTGTTTATTTCAAAATTTTAAGAGGTTAATTCAAAAATATTATCTGGTGAAAATGTAATAAGATATAAAATGTCATAAATAATAAGAATGTGAATTAATTGTTGCACAGCATTACATGCTTTGCAATCTGAACCAAACTTTTTTTTTTTTTTTAATATAATGTTGGGTCATTTGGAAAGTTCTACAGTTTGTTGATGACAAAAACAAAGGACAAACACATTAAAATTTCATTTAATCACATAAGCACCATTTTGTTCTGCGACTTTTTGCCGTCTCTTTGGCAGTTGAAAAATTCGCTTTTTAAACAAAGTCATTGAGTTAATTCATAAAGAAAATATTGAGGTTAAAAATCTTTAAAGAAATGAATTCCAGCCTGTTGAAGGAATTATGAAGTGAATTAAAGAGATGAAAATTTTTGGGGGCAAGGCCTAGTGAATATCAGAGGGTGAAACTAAATATCCCAGTCATACTTGTCTGATAATCGTCCAAACCTGGGGCTGAGAAGGGTCGTGATAAAAGACTACAACTCAAATGACCTACTCATTAAATCTTTCTGATTTTCATCGAAATGTGGGGCCGAACATTACGATGAAAGACAGCATCTTGATGACTGGCCATTTCTTTTAGCTTCAGTTTCTGCTCTTAAAAGTGCCTTTGGGAGCAGTACTTTCTCGAATTTATTGCCTGATTTGGTGGTAACAATTCATGGTAGAAAATTTTTTTTGTATTCTCACTGTACAAAAATATTCCTTTTTTTTTTTTAAATACAGGCCCCTTAATGTTATCAAAGGAGTGTTTTTTTTTTTTTTTTTTTTTTTTTTTTTGGCTTACCCCATGATCTTTATCTTGTAAAATTATTGTATAGTATTCACATCTCATTTCCAATAATGAGTGTTTAAAAAAGGGAATTTCTGTATTTTGTTTCAGAAGAGAATCACATGCCAAAACTGAAGCAAGCATATTCTATTGTGTTTAAATATGGGATATCCCTGTACATAGCAACTTACATACCCATTCTTTTTCAAATGATCATATACTGCATTTTTTAGAATGTTTAATAATTCTTGAACTATATAATGTGAATTTTCAGTGACAGCTTCATTACAAAGGATGTTCAGAGTGGGCATCATCTTAGAGGAGGAAATTTCTGTACTTGAACTTCTCAAACTACCGCTGAACTGTGTTATCAGAAACTACACTTTGTCCACATATAGCATACATTTTACAAACAGTGTGGCTAATATTTTTTTCTTTTTTAAAAGAAAAGAACATAATATGATAAAAGTGAACTTTTGGGTTTTCCATTCTTAGTGCTACACTGAAACAAATTATTCCACATATACTACATATTCGAATTATGCAATGTGAGCAGGAAAAAAAAAAAACATATTTCCTCTTCTGTTAAGGCCACTCCTTATCAGCAGTAATAAAATAATTAGAAGAAAATACACATATTAGAAAACTAGAACTTTTTGGGTAACCCAATATTTTCATGCAGCATGGTATTTTTCTGGAGCATTTCTGTAATTCAGTAGTCTTTAAATTATGTTCTGCAAAACCACGAAAATCTTGAGATCTCACGAGTCGAAATCAAAACTCGAAACAATTTTTTATTGGCCCGTGAACCACAACACTAAATGTCTAAAATGATTAATGAATTTTTTATTTCTGTTATTATTGCTTAAAATAAAATAAAGCAGATATGAGAAAAATTACATTAACCTTCTGAGCGGCACGGGTTTTTGGATCTGTCATGAAGACCTGTATTCAAAGACACTTTTATTTGCTAAATTTGTATATTTACTTACTTTAGGCTCTAATTTCATAAACTTGAATTTATTAAGATGATATTTATGTTATTAAAGAAAGTAAGAAAGCAAAATATCATAAATTATAAGCTAATATATAACAAATGACAAAAAATCTCTTGATCGGATAAAGCCGGTCATAATGCTGAGAGGGTTAAAGTACTGTATTCTTTCACTTTCCACATAAATTTCACTCACCACTGATATATTTTCAATATGTTTTTAATATATGTTTTCTGTTTTCCTTTTGCTCTTAGATTAAGTGTGGTTTGAGTTAAGCATAGACATTGTCTTCAGTTAATCAGGAGTGACTGTTCATGTATTCTGTGCATTCACCATAAACATATCTTTTTAGAGCTTATTATTACTGTTATTATTTGTGAACTATGTGGCTTTTCTGCTAGTGTTTTTTTTTTTTTTTTTTTAATTTATTTATTCTTTGCAGTAAGGAAATTTGTGTTTGATAATTTTCTTTTGTGATGGCTCTTATGAAATTAAAGTACCTTTGTATCTTTTAAACATTTTCTGGACTTTTTTGGTCCACTTGTTTTTATTCAGTTATAAATAACTTACAACCTTGGTTCTCGAACTTTTTGATGTTGGAGATTAACATTAGTCTGCCTTTTTTTTTTTTTTATGCAGAACATTTTTAGTGTGCCATAAGATTTAAAAAGAAATGTTCAACATTTTTGAAAGGACCAATAAAAAAAAATAAAAATAAAAAAAAAGACAATAATGGAGTATTTTGCTCACAAAAAATACTCCATTATTGAAGAGTTAAGAAAAAAATTAAATGGAATCATGTCATGGGTGTGAGATTGACCACCCCTGCTTTAAAGTGTTACTTTTATAAAAATATGAAATATCGATACTGATTGATGTAAACATATTTGTTTTAAAATCACTTAAGATAACAGTACTTAAGAAAAAAAAAAAATTCTCAAATTTAATGCAATACTTGAATTTGTTTATAATACAAAGTTTAGTGATTATAGTAAAGTTAAATTATGAGTTTAGTCGCACAGAGCACAGAGACACCCCATGCATCAAAAATCAACAATCCTGACCGGAAATGTCTTAATGAATTATCCTTCTATCCTTCTAGTATCCTCCTGTGTGAATGTTAATGAATTATCCTTCTAGTATCCTCCTGTGTGACACTCCCCTTGGAATATGTATTGTTATTTTTGCTTGTTTTTTCTTTTCTGTGAGAGAAGCAATCGTTTCTTGGAATCCATGAGGGAATGGGGTGACTCGGTTACCCCGTGCGACCGTTACTGCTTCGAAATTTTTCATTAGTAGCAGTTTAGCTTCGTGCTCTCGAGTGTTTCCATTGTTGGTCTGTTGGATTATTTGATAAATAATGGCTTACAAACGTAAATTTACCGAATATGAAAAAGAGATGGAATGTTTGAGAACTCTATTAGATGAAGTTGAGTCTTCTGAAGAAGAAATTGATCAAGGTAGTGAAAATGAATCTGATGAAGAAATATACCGTTCTCACAACAGCGAAAGTAAATTTGAGCAGAATGATGAAGACGACGGAAATCGTGATTTAGTAAAAAGTATTTTTATTAGGAAAAACAACACAGTTTGGCAGAAAGGAAAACCAAATCAAAACGTGAAAACGTCTTCAATAAAATATAATAACTCATTTACCAGGATTAAAAGGAACTACACACAATTTAACGGAGCCTCTAGAAAGTTCGGAATTGTTTTTCAATGCTAATATTATACGATTTATTGTAGAGTGTACAAATATTTATATTGAAAAAATATCGGTAAATTACACCAGAGATCGAGATGCCAAACCACAAATGATGTGGAAATTAGAGCACTTTTTGGGCTTTTATATCGGTGTGGCTTTCATAAATCGTCACATACAAATACGCAAGATTTGTGGGCTACTGATGGATCAGGCATTGAAATTTTATGGAACACAATGTCATATAAAAGATTTAATTTTCTTCTCAGGTGTTTACGACTAGACAATGTGACCAGTTGTGAAGCTCTAAAAAAATTGGACAAACTGGCAGCTGTGAGAGAATTTTTTGCCGATTTCAACGAAAATTGCCAAAACATATACATTATTGGTGAATATGTTACTATCGACGAAAAATTAGAGAAATTTTTAAGGCAGTGTTCCTTTCGTCAATATATACCTAGCAAACCAGCAAAATATGGAATAAAAATATTTGCCTTAGTAGATTCAGGAACATGGAGATATACGCAGGACAACAGACGGAAGATCCCTTTAGAGTTGAAAATTCACCATTTGAAATTACAAAACGCCTGTGCACCCCTTTGTTTGGATCAGGCAGAAACATAACAATGGATAATTGATATACGAGTTATCCTCTAGCAAAAGAACTTTGTCAAAGAAGCTAACTATTGTAGGAACCCTGAAGAGAAACAAGGTTGAAATTTCCACAGACTTCGTCCAAAAAAAAAAAAAAAAACTAGGAAAGTTTATTCTTCTATATTTGGGTTCCAAAAGAATGCGACACTAGTATCGTATGTGTCTAAAAAATCAAAATGTGTAGTTTTGTTATCTACAATGCATCGTGGTGATGATACCAAGAAACCAGAAATCATTCAGTTTTATAATGCAACAAAAGTTGGTATAGACAAAGTTGATGAAGTGTCATCATTATATTCGACAGCTCGAAAAACCAACAGATGGCTGATGGTTGTTTTTTATTGTGTGTTGAACGTCGCTGCAATAAATGCCAGAGTTGCATTATTGTCAACAAAGATCCCTCTCTTACAATATCGAAATAGGAGGAAATTCTTTAAAAATTTGGCTATCCAGTCAAAAGTCTTTAATCTGGACTCGTCGAGACTTCGGCGATTCCGGATTATCGGTTTTTCCGGATTATAGATCATGAGTTTAAATCTGGTAAGATGACATGCCAGAAATTATAAAATATAATATGAAACCGTAATTTAAAATAAGAACAGTTATGATAAAAAAAAAAAAAAAAACAA